CCTTCTGGACAGTCACGTCAAGGACGAGGGGAAAACGCCCTGTGTAGGGTATGTCCGCCCACTAGTTGGCCCTGCTGAAGGTGATGGGGACCTCGGACCATGGGCGGTAGCTGGGGTTGGCGGTGGTTTCCTCTGAAGCGACGACGAGCACTCGTCGGGCAGCAAGCTTCCGTTCTCTTCCGTTCTCATTAGAGGCAAGGCCTCCGAAGATGGTAGCGACCACCTTGTCATGATCCTGGAAGGCATTGTTATTGCCCCCAGGTGGTCGGCGGCCTCTGTTCCCGTTGGCGTCGTCATCCAGTTTCTTGTCCTGGAACTCCTTGGCCAAGCCAAGGCAGTCCTTTATCTTATGCTTTGCATTCTTGTGGAGAGGGCAAGGACCGTCGAGGATCTTCTTATACTGTTCGTCATAGTTCCGCTTGGCGCGAGGCTCATTGACAGTAGCAACGAAGTGGTCTGGCCGACGGCAACGATTTTGACCGGGCTTGAACCCTTCTGGCCGATCACGGCCGTTATCCCGGTTGAAAACGCGATCGTCTTACCGGCGGTCGTTGTGGCGTCGGTTATCAGGGCGGTCATCGTAGCGGTGAGGCGGGCAATTTGCGCCTGTATCTTCGTTGAAACGCACCTCCGCTTCCTCGGCGTCTGCGTACTGATTGGCGGTCATGATCATCTCGCCGATGCCCGTAGGCGGCTTACGGTTGAACTTGGATCGGAGCTCACGGTGGTGAAGTCCTCGGACGAAGGCAGTGATGACCTCAGCCTCCGTGATGTTGGGAATAGAATTCCTCATCTCAGAGAAGCATCTGATATAGCTGCGGAGGAGCTCGGATGACTTTTGGGTGATGCAGTTGAGATCATGCTTGGTGCCCGGACGCGTACATGTGGCCATGTAGTTGTCGGTGAAAACTTTCTTTAGCTCTTCCCAAGATCCGATGGAGTCCGGGGTGAGGCTTGTGAACCAACTCATGGCGGTTGGCGTAAGCATGACAGGGAGGTAATTCGCCATGACATTGGTGTCGCCTCCGGCGGCGCGAATGGCAGTGGCGTAAGCCGGTAGCCACTGGGTTGGGTTCATCCTTCCTTCATAGGGCTCGACCCCAGTGATTTTGAAACCACGTGGCCACTGGAGTGTTCGGAGCGCCCTGGTGAATGCCGGAGGCCCTTCGGGATTACGGCTTCATCATCTACAACGTTACTGCGGCGATCGGCTCCAGAGCTGAGTCTGGGTTACCGTACTCTCGCTCGTACTCCTGGCGGCGGCGTACTTCATCTTCATGGCGACCGAAGCGACGCTGCTCGATACGCCATCATGCATCCCGGAGATTACTGAGGTGCACTCGAGCATCCTGTTCGACCTCCTGGTCGTGCTGGCGATGGTGCTCGGCACGGTGGCCCCCAACCCCACCATGGAGGGGCAGTGGCTGGTCGGCGAAACGGCTTTGGCTGGGGCGGCGATTGGATCTTGGCGCGGCTGATCGATGAATCGTGTTTGTCGAGCACGAAGGTCTTTGATCCGGGCGGATCTTGTTGACCTGGCAGTGCGCCGCTTTGAGCATGGCGGCGACCTTGGCAACCTCAGGAGTCTGCGGGAGCCGGGCGAGCTCGTTGGCAGCTACAGCCAAGTTAGCACTTGGAGTTTTGTAGACGTCGTGACCGTCGACATGGAGAAAATCTTCGTCAAGGTTGCGATGGAGCGGCCTCCCTTGCGAGTCAAACTGGTTGTCGCGAGCGGCCTCAGCCATCGCAAGGGTGCACTCATTTTCACGGCGTTGCATGCGGTTGACGTTCCTGTTTTCGCGAGCGCGCGTTCCTCATCGGTTTTAGCCGTTCCGAGGGGGGCTGTCGATGCTGACGTTGAAGATCACGCCACCCCAAAAAGGCGGAGAGGGGGTTGCTCAGTGAAGGTCTCGGCGAGGGTCTCCGTGGAGCCCTAAGATTTGAGTCCAGACTTTCCTCCAAGATGGTTTGGACGGATGCTCCGGGGCATCGGCTGGCGTGCAGCATGTTAACCGTCGGCGGGAGCTGGTCGGTGATCTAGTTGGTGAGAGGATGGATATCCCCCACCTGGTCGGCGAATTTGCCCCTCAGGGCATCTTGGTATGTAGCGGCGATGTTGGCGAGCCCAAAGGGTAGGGTCGTAACCTCCGTAGTTTGCCGAGCAGCCTCCAACAGGATTGGATCGGAGGGTGGTCGGCGCTGAACGAGGGTGTCCAGAGCCGACTCGGCGACGGAGAGACAATCGGCAAGCTTCAGACCGACCCGATCGATGGACTCGATCAGATCATCATTGACGATGTGCCTCCTCTGGTAATGAGGAAGCGAGCGGCGAGTCATTGATGAAGACGACCTCGGAAGTAGTTCCAAGATCGGATCTGCAGTTGTAGGTGCGGGGTGGTCGGTGCAGAACAGATCTGCGCCGGCTCAAGGAGCTCTCCAACTCCATCAGCGTTGATGACCCATGAGATGGATCCGACCGTGAAGATCTGGCCGAGCTGCGGGAGGGACGAAGAGCCTGTGGAAAAAGCCATCTTGTTAAACAAGGAAACAGCACGCACACCCCTACCTGGCGCGCCAACTGTCGACAGAATATCGTCGGCACTCCTCCGAGGGGTATCCCACGAAGATAGATTGATCGGTAGAGGAGCACGAGATCAAGAACAAGAAGGCAATAGAGACACACGAGTTAGATAGGTTCAGGCCATCAGTATGACATAATACCCTACTCCTGTGGTCTGTTGGTTTGTATTAGCTATCGTATGATATGCCGTGATTTTGGAGGGGGTCCCTGCCCGCCTTATATAGTCCGGGGGCAGGGTTACAAGTCAGTTAGATCTGAGAGATAACCGGAAAGTAATAACAGAATACAAGAATCATGGGATCGTACGTATCCTAACAGATCTCGTAGTATCTGCAGGATATCTTCCTTATGTCTTGCGGTAGGCGCCGAGCAGAATCGTGCCCCGCAAGGCTTCATCTTGTGGGCTGGGCCGCCCCTGGGGGTGTAGCCCATGTGGTCTGCCATGGGTATCCAGGGTCGTACCCCCCACACTAGACCTAACTGCGAATCTCCGTCGTAACCCCATACTCCATCCTCGGGTAGACCATTTTCACAAAGGAAATGCACACAGATCCGAAAGTCTTACCGGTTGTGGCGGTGGAGACGACGACGACCTTTGTGGCCATGACCCTGGCGGTCGACCGACAAACGGGCAGAGCTGGTTGGAGGAGCACGACGTCGAGGATGGATTTGGAGACGGGCGGATATGAAGGGTGAGCGCGGTTGGGGATTCGACTGAGGCTGACTGCAGGAGTTGGAGGCGGTGGATGTGGGAGGTGCAGTGGGCGAGGTGGAAGGCGGAGGATGCGGGAGGTTCGATGAGAGGGGCCGACCTTAGCTGCGGCAGATGCGGGAGGTCCGATGCGAGGCTCCGAGCTTGGCTGCGGCGGCTGCGGGAGGTCCGATAGGAGGGGCCGACCTTGGCTGCGGCGGATGGGGGAGCTCCGATGGGACGGCGCGAGGTTGAGGGCGGACGCTGCGGGAGATCGGAGGGGAGGGGGCGATGCCGGTGTTTGCGGGAGGCGGCTGGTAAGGGGGAACCCTAGGGTGGCGCGAGCGAATGGGAGAGGGAGAGGGAGACCAGCGGCAGCCTAGCTGGTATATATACCAGCTGGTCTAGGCTGAAATGATCAGCCCACTTCAGCTACTTCTAGCCCAGCCCCAACCAACGAACAGGTGGTAGTAGAAGCGAGATACGTACGCTCTTTGTGTTTGCAATTTTGTTGTGTGGGACGAAGAAAATGTCCCGAAAGCTGAAAGCTGAATAGGGTGCAAGTGCAAGCAGCGTCTCATCTCACTGTTTGTATACGGCTGATGGATCGGATTCGGATGCGCTGACTGAGGGCTTGTTTAGATGCAAAAATTTTTGCAAAATGAGTACGGTAGTGTTTTCGTTGTTATTTGGCAAATAGTGTCCAATCATAGTCTAATTAGGCTTAAAAGATTCGTCTCGTGGATTTCGTCTAAACTGTGTAATTAGTTTTATTTTTTATTTATATTTAATGCTTCATGCATGCGTCCAAAGATTCGATGTGACGGGAAATATAAAAAATTTTATAAATTTTTTTGCAAACTAAACTGGACCTGAGACTGATGCTCCGGCTTATCAACTACTCCTACTCCTAGAGCCTTTTCTTTTCTTCTTTTTTTTCTTTTTTCTTTTTAAAAGTTATAAATAGAGCCTTTTGTTTGCCACGTGGCAATAGATCACAAGACCAATGCCGTCCTTCTAGAAATTCTTGCCGATTCAAAAGAGCAGGGTTCACTCTCGCCCACCAAGCAGGCAGACACGTACTGTACGGTTGAAAACACAAGGCGACTGATGATAACACAAGGGAAGGCGCGGCACTACTTCCGAATTTACTTCCCGTTCGTCTGAGCACTTCTCAGCTTTTTTCAGCTTATTTTTTCATGATACTATTAAATCATCCGAAATCATAAAAAACTGAACAGCCGAACAGGCCATCAGTTGGACTACGCGTAGAGTTGGGGGCTTGGGGCTAAAGGTAAAACAGCCCCGAGAAAAAAGCTCCTTCGCGGTGAAGGCGTAGACTGAGACAGGGGGTGCCCCCGCGTGCCGCGACATCCACGTCTCGTCGCCGCAGGGCGCGACGCGGTTTGGCCACCTTCCCCGAAGCTTCCCTCCCGCCGCTCCCGGCCCCCGTCCTGCTTGCCAACTGACGCCGAACGCACACGATGACGCGGCCCGCTCCAGTCAGCAGTCACACAGTCCACAATCACCACCGCCACGGGTACGAGACGAGACGCACCACCCACCAAACGAAGCGGCGATAAAACCGCCCTCGGCACACGCGGCGGCACCTCCACACTTGCACTTGGTTGGAGCTTCTCCTTTTTCCATTGCTCTGCTTCGCGTCTCCCCCACCTCCTTGCCTCCGCCTAACACAGCAGCGCAGGAGCACAGAGAGCGATCGAGGCCATGGAGGAGGGCTACGACCGCGAGTTCTGGCAGTTCAGCGACACGCTGCGCCTGCAGACGGCCGCCTTCTCCGGCCTCTCCCTCGGCGACTCCATCTGGTCCCCGGCCACCGCTGGCGCCGCCGCGGACCGCCACAACAGCAACAACGACCTATTCGCCGCCGCCGCCGCCAAGAACAACGGCGTCGTCGGCCTCAAACTCAACGATGGCGGACCGGGCCTCATCGGCTCCGGGAAGCTCGCCTTCGGCGGCGGCAAGGCCGACCGCTACAACAACCTCCCCACCACCGAGAAGGCCGCGTCCGTGTACAACAACAGCACTGTCAACGGCGGGTACGCCAAGAACAACAACAACGCCCTGGCGTTCAACAAGATGGGGAGCTACGGCGGCTACAACAGCAACAGCAGCGGTAACAACAACAGCGGGAGGTGAAGAGCTACTTCAACAAGTCCGCCGGACGGGCGATGAGCAACAACAGCCACGGGCACGCCGGCGGCAAGAAGGGCGGGGAGTACGGCAATAAGAAGAAGCACGCCAAGAACGAGGGCAACAACGGCGGCGGCGCGGGGGCCACGGACAGGCGGTTCAAGACGCTGCCGGCGTCGGAGGCGCTGCCGCGGGGCCAGGCCATCGGCGGCTACATCTTCGTCTGCAACAACGACACCATGGACGAGAACCTCAGGAGGGAGCTCTTCGGTGAGCCACTGACCGATGACTGCAGGCACAAGAATTGAATCCATCTATCTGAATAAATAGGACAGCTGAAAAGGAGCAATGTTTATTCATATCTAATACTACTACTATACTACTATCAATTAACTTGTTGATTGATGATGATGAACACCAGCAGCATACTGATTAGTTGTTCTGTTTCATGGTTGGATGCAGGGCTGCCGTCGAGGTACAGGGACTCGGTGCGGGCCATCCGCCCGGGGCTGCCCCTCTTCCTCTACAACTACTCCACCCACCAGCTCCACGGCATCTTCGAGGTACACTACAATACAGTAGCCGATTCGACGAGGGATCCGGATCCTCCCTTGTTCATTGATTGATCCGATCCGATTCCGATCACCTGCAGGCCGCGAGCTTCGGCGGGACCAACATCGACCCGAAGGCGTGGGAGGACAAGAAGTGCCCCGGCGAGTCGCGCTTCCCTGCGCAGGTACCTAATCTGCTTCAATCCAGCCCACTCCCAATTAATCCAGTCCCTCTAGTCATGGCGGATGATCGATCAGCTCAACCGCTAGCGTGACTTTTACACTTGTTTGAATTGTCACCGAACAGTACACGTCTCACCGACAGATCAAAGGCTAGGGTAGCGACCCATTCACATCACATGTGGCGACGACGTGTGGAGTCGCATAACCTCAAGAAACATTATAAAATTTGTGTACAAACGCTGTGTGGAACCAAACCGATTGGTTAGTTTAAGTGGAGCGATCGGCCTGCCTGGATTAGTCAGCAGAGAGGTTTGGTCAGCTTGCTTGGTTCCTACGGAGTACTCCAGGTTGCTTGGCCAGCCGGCAGAGGATCTGGTCGCAGGCCGAAAGAGCATGCGTCAGAGCATCTAGATGCTGCAACTGCAAGCGGTGTGAGGATGTCACCTGTAGCTGTAGCCTGTATTCCTCATCTAGGGCTCTAGGAGTAGTACTCTACTCGTAGTCGAGTTTTGCCCAAGTGGTGACGCATGGTGCTTGTGATGTGCAGGTGCGGGTGGCAACGCGGAAGATCTACGACCCACTGGAGGAGGACGCCTTCCGCCCCATCCTCCACCACTACGACGGGCCCAAGTTCCGGCTCGAGCTCTCCGTCACCGAGGCCCTCGCCCTCCTCGACATCTTCGCCGACAAGGATGACGCCTGAGCCTGATCGGATCGTCAGGCACTCAGAGGCTTGGATGAATCATGAATGAACAAATAATGCATGGACATGTATCGTCATGCATGTTCTGTCCTACGAGACGGGAGTATACACACCACCACGGTGGAGTAGTATATTAATAATAATTAATATAATATATATCCACCTTTGTTTCATATTATTAGGCTATCTCCAACAGCACAGACCCAAATCAGAGACCCATTCCATAGTTTGGGTCACGCACAGTAAAAAGACCACGCACCCAAAACTCGCATTCTCTAACAGGGCCTACCCAAAAGCCCGTCCCTCTCTCCTCACTCTATCCCCGCGCCGCCCGTTCCCCTCCCTCTCTACCTCGGCGCCGCCCCTCCCTCTCTCCCCTCCCTCGTTGAGCACGGCGCCCCTCCCTCCCGGATCTGGCTGGCGGCAGCACCCCTCCCTCCCCTCCCTCCCGGATCCAGCGGTCGCGGGCGAGGAGGACCCCGGATCCCCGCTCCCCGACGGCCGCCCCTCCCGCCTCGCCATGGTGCCGTACCGGCCGCCAGGCCGGAGGCGGACTCTCACTGCAGCGGCTCCTCAGCCAGTCCCTCTTGGCCGGGCTCGCTCGAGCTCCACGGGCTCCTCCTCCTCCGCGTTCGACACCGTCAGCGGGTAGCGGTCCGCCAGCCACCGGTAGAACGCTGGGACTCCCATCTCCGACCGACCTGCTTTGCCGCCGGATCTCCTCCTTGCTCTAGCCTCCCTCTCACGGGGCGGCACTTCCGCTAGCTCCTAGCGCCGCAGTGGCGTGCGGTGGTTGTTGCCTCCTCTTTGGTTCGATCTGGGGGCGGAGGAAGGGTGAGGCCTGCGGGGTAAGGAGGGCGATGGCCTCGCGCGTGCGTGCGGGGCTGCGGGCGGGTTGGGCTTCCATCTCGACGACGCAGATTTGCGTTTCAGCGAGCCTCAAAATGGGTGAGGTGTTTGGATCTTCTGTTGGAGCGTTGTGTTTTGGAGGCATTGTGAATGACCTATTTTGCGTTTGGATCACGGTTTGCATGCTCTGTTGGAGACAGTCTTAAAGGCTATGTATGAGGCACGCGTCCCATTGTTTTGTTTTTATATAACACTTGTGCGATGATTGCAGAGGACTAGCCCTCGTTTTTTGTAAGACAAACTCGTACCAAGATATCTGTATTATTCAGGTCCAACTGACATGTATAAACCATCTGTGAAATGATATGTTCTTGTGCTGTACTACAACTGAACGTAAGGAACGGTCTTTGTTACTCTGTTCAAGCACCAGACGTGTTTCTCTTGGATTGGAATTTGTCCCTGGCGACAATTACAATGCGCACCTCGGCTAGTATAACAACAGTCTGAATGCTCCAGATTCGAAAGCATCAGCTACCTGCCAGACCATAACTGAGTCCAGTCAGTACAGCAGAAACCATTGAGCTTTCAACCGATTCTAGAAGAGAATTGATCAACTCGCAGCGTCTGGAAGCAGATAAAGTAGCTGCACAACAAAGCACGTCGAAGAACATCACAGTTAGCACCAGATAAATCAAGTCAGCCGCGGCCCACAGGGCCCATAACCTTCCATTCACCGATTTAAGTTTTAATAACACCTAAAACACATTTGTACAAAACTGCGGAATGGAGATCCAGAGGAGTAATATATCAACAGCAGATCCACAAGGGAGAAAAAAGGGTGGGGGAAGGAAATCTCTCCTCAAATACATCCTGACAATCTATCTCCGGTCAAGAAGCATACCACATCAAACATTCACCACCGAATTTTCTTCCCAAAGGTTTCTTCTTGCTTTTCTTCTCCTCCAGCTTCAACCAAACATATTATGCGGAGCAGGGTCAGCCATGAGCGAGCTGTGGTGATGGACCATATACCACCTGCCGTTCCAGAGCTCGTACACGTTGGTCACATGGAACAGCACAGGGTTAATGTCAACATTCGCCTTCATGTTGACCCATGCCACCTCACCGAGCACACGGACACGGACATCCCTTATCTGGAAGGCAATGCCCTGCCCTCCATCTTGGCCCCAGTTGAATAGTAGGCCCCAGCTCTCCATCACTGCATTGTATCTGAGAAAGAACGGAAATGGATTAGCATCTATGACACAAGTAAGGCCTGTTAGATAACGCCTCTCCAACAGTTCGATTAGAAAATCAATACTCATAAGGGGAATAAAATAAAAAGGCTTTTTACAATTTCAATACAAAACATTCATCCCAAATACAACACAACAATACTGAAGGTGTTAGCATCTATGACCTGACACACCAAGCCTATAGTCGATGGATTTAGTTCTATCTTATATGGTATGGTTAGGTAGTTAATTAAAGCTACAAGACAGCAAACAATGGGTCCCGATACTGCCAAAGCATACAAATTTTAGTTCTCAGTTCTCACAAAAGAAACGGATATTTCAATGAGCACATCTTCATTTATGTTCACAGGTACAAAGGTTATTCAAAAGTGTACTTCATAAGATGAAAACTACATGCGTGCACACTGTTTTAAAAGGCAATCCCCCTAGCCCTCCTAATAAGCAACGAGACTACATGTGTGCACACTGTTTTAAAAGGCAATCCCCCTAGCCCTCCTAATAAGCGACGAGACGCTAGATACCCTTCAGCTGCCCATGTAGCATCTAGTGATTTTTCAGACACTTGTGTGTATAACTAGAAACTAGCACTTTTGTCAAAAAATGAAAAATAAATCCAACCGATCTTCAGCATAGTTGCAAGATCTCAACAGTTGGAGCTACTAGAAGGACAAGCAAAAAGGAAAGAACAAAATTGAATACGGAGAAACTCTGAGGATAGAAATAACAGAATGGCAGAAATTGGCATACCTATACATAGGTGTGACTGTCTAATAGTATTATATGTTAATAAAATATACAAATAACTAGACTTCACAAGTCACAAGCCATTTCTCATGGATATGGCCACAACTCTATGGTATGGAAGCCTTAAAAAACTTCTAATCTAGCCATGGTCTTATATGTTGTGTCTAAACAAGCATACTCATAGTGTGTATGTGCGCCATGGTCTTATATGCTGTCAGCAAAGACGGTTCATAGTGGGCGTGATTGGTTGGCCGTTTCCAGCCGGCACAGGCCAGTGAGATGCAGCTCCATAGCAATTGGTTCGCTGCACAACACGTGCCAGAGCCTGGCCTGCGGCATGCAGCAAGCCCTGCCGAGCCTGGCTGTGGGGAAACGAGAACCGATTCCGTTTCCTCTGAGCCTGGCTCGTGGGGGTGTGAGCGTGCGCTGTGACTCTGCGAGAGAGAACCGGTGCAGCTACAAGCCAGAAAGTAGACAACCAAACAACATATGTGTTCATCTAGTATGTACTAATACAGTCAACCAAACAAAATGATGTTGCACACAACAGGCCTGTCCTAGCTCAGCCAGGCTCATAGGAGCAAGCCAGGTTCACCTCGGCAGTCGGCACCAAACCAATCAGGCCCAGTGTGTATGTGTTTTTTTTTCTGAAGAACTATCAGCAGAGCTTGATTTAGTAAAAGAAACAAAATTAATAGTTATAGTAATGCATTGGTGTGTCTATATAACAAAAAAAATCATGTGTTGACTCAAAACTTATCTGCTTCTCCACCAATGATTCATAGTGTGTATGTTAGCCTTGTCTCATATGCTGTGTCTAAGCAACCACGATTCATAGTGTGTATTTGTTTTTTTCTGAAGAACTATCAGCAGAGCTTAAAGTTTGTAGAAGAAACAAAATTAATCATTACAATAATGCATTGATATGTGTGTGTATATACCAAATAATTCAACTGTTGACTCAAAATTTCTCTGCTTCTCCACCAATGCAATGCAAGGATACCTGTCGGTGTCTCTCTAACAGGTATCAAATTGTATCAAACAAAATTTACTTCACATTGACCTAACATATGCAACGAGTTAAAATTAATTTGCTAAGAACCTTATAACATACTCCATCCATTTCGCAATGTGTCCATGGCCACCCATTGGTCACAGAGCAAGGAAACCTAACATCTATGCAAACGAAGCAATAGATCAGCCACAACTAGGTGCACACCCCTTGGAAGATACAAGTCAACAAGTAAGTCTGTACATGCATTGGTTATTCCCTTCCAAATAAACACCTTGCATTTAAAGTCAACAACATAGGAATCATCGAATGGACAGACTTGTAAATAAACCATAGGCCCGCAAAGCAGAAGGATTAGAAACCAGAGAATAATTGGAACTTTGAATCGATCGCAGTGAAGTCAAGACATACCCAGTGCAGAACTCCCCAGTTGCATGAATACACTTGACATAGTCTGCATTAAGCCAAAAACGGCTCATTGCTGGCAAGGACCCTTCCCTGATGATATTGTAGAACTCTGCATTAAGGTTAATGATGGCTTTTGTAGCTGCATAGTATGCCTTCCATCCATTAGGAGGATTTATAGTACCCTGCTCCACCGTAAAATCCTGCAAGAGTTGATTTATTAGATTAAAAGGATGCAAAACAAAGTCAGAAATTATTATTAAAAAAATATTTCATCATAACCACAGGAATTGCCGTTTTAAACAGTCAAAATGCACAGCTTCACAGTCACATCAAGGAGGGGAACAAAAGGGGAAATTCAACAAGTTACATCAATAACTTCTTATCCAATTAAAAGGTCATGTAAATTCAAATGGAACACAGAAAACTAACCCATATGTTAAGTTGTGTGGAGAGTTAGAAGGGACGACTGTATGATAAACAAACACAGTATTATGACCTGCTGCCTAAAAACCCGGCAAACAAGGGTACATCCGTACATGTACACAATACAAACTTTCTTGCTTGTCATAGGCAGCCCCATGCCTATCAACATGGGAAGATTGTGAAAACACCAGGAAAGATTCGGAAACTGAAACACGGTGAAGTCCTTCACGTCATATCTGGGTAACTTCCCTTCAGTTCAGAAATGGAAGTAGATGCCATGGCAAAGTTCAGGCCATCCCGTGTGTTCGATGAGAGCTATGGACGTTCGCAACGGCTTACCAAAAATTTCAGTTGCTGAGAGTAGGGATGAAAACGACCGGAAACGGTCGGTTCCGATATTTACTATGCAGAAACGATTCCCGGTCGGTCGGAAACTCACCACATTTTCATTTTAACTATTTATTAACGGCATATAAGAAATTAAAAAATCAAAAGTTGAAATAAGGTAATGGTTGAAAACCGTCATAAAAGATATCACTATTTCGGAAATGAGTCCTGATAAACGAAATCTTCCATTCTCACTTTCATCCCAAACTGAGAGAAATCCATATGGATTCCGGATAGAATAACCGTACAAAGAAAATATCCTATCCACATGAGCTTTTGAATTAGGTCGTTCCATATCTCAACCCCTATCCTACCCTCTTCGTCCCTCGATGACCCTAACGATACAATTGTATGCACCAGCAGAAAGGTAATACACCCAAACCTCAAGACAGTGATGGTCCATTTACAATGGAAACAAGCAGGGACGGATAGACTACATTGCCAATCAGACAGTAGAGCAGTCAAGGGGAAGTTCAGGGAGGGTTGTGGGCGCATCAGGCCCAGCAGCACACCTTGTGGTACAGTGCCTTCCAGGCGCCGTCGTCGTTGGCCGCGCGGCGCATGGCGGAGTTGGTCATGGAGAGACGGCAGAGGCTGGTGTAGTCGAGGTAGCTGAGCGCGTGGGTGGTGATCTCGGGCACGAGCTGCTCCATCATGGAGGGCGCCTCCGGTGGAGCCGGCTCCGACGCCTTCTTCTTGTTCTCCCCGCCCACAGCCATGTCGCCGTTGGCGGACTTGGCGTCGCGGCAGCCGCAGGAGGCGCAGCCGCAGCAGTTGGCGGGACGGGATCGGTGCTTCTTTAAGGATGCGGGGGAGGAGGAGGAAGAGGAGTGGAAGACCCAGAAGGCGCAGGCGAGGCAGCAGACGGCGGTGGCACCGGCGGCGATCAGGACTCGGGCGCCGTCCATGCGGATGTGGACATCCAGGTCGGGGGGGCGTCTACGGCGGCGGGGGGAGAAGAGGAGGTCAGGGTGTGGGGGTAGGGTTTGGACGGCATCCCATCACACGGAGGAGGAGGCTAGGGTTTTGTCGTTTGGGTTGGGAGGAGACGAGATGGGGAATGAATGAGCAAGGAGCACACGGGGGAGGGTTTCCGTTTCGGATCGAGGAAGACGAACGGAGAATGGATGCGATGCCACTTGTGAACGGGGCTGGGTTGGGCTTGGGCACCGTGGACGCAATCGCCGGATCGGCGTTTGGTTCTGGGAAATTGTCGCATTCGGCGTTACGGTCAAGAGTGACAGGTTAGACGTCGACTTAGGTCCCGTTTAGATGCGAAATTTTTTTTTTTTTGTTACTATAGTATTTTTGTTTGTATTTGACAAAAATTATTCAATTATGGACTATTTAGGTTTAAAAGATTCGTCTCGTCAATTACGGGTAAACTATGCAATTAGTTATTCTTTTTATCTACATTTAATACTCCATGTGTCGCAAGATTTAATGTGACGGAAAATCTAGAAAAATTTTGGATTTTGGATGGGATATAAACAGGGCCTTAAGTATAGCGAGCTAGTAGTATGTTACTGGCAACTCTAGCAATGTCTTTTGGTTCTTCTGTCAACACTATTCATCTCCCTATATTTTAAGGTGCGTTTAATTTGATGGGTATCCTTAAATGGGAAATGGCAGTCCATAGACAAACGGTGTTTAGTTCACCAGCGAGTTAAACATGGATATCCTTGACAGGAGAATAATCTTTTAGATGTTGGATATCCTGTCAACAAAAAAAAAATGTCTGGTTTTCTAATCTATGTAATTAGTAAATAATTAAGGATTATTAGTATCTTATATTATTGCTTAGTAAATATGATGGCAAAGTTAATTTTGATAAGTGTTAATATATTGATTAGTGCATGTTTTGTATGTCAATTAGGATAATAGTGGTGCTAATTAGCATGATATAGTCACTAATTATCGGGGACCAATACTAGGGTATCCGAATAGGAGCTAATAACCATTAACATTGATTCGTCCGAGCAGTCAAGAGGACGACTATAGCTCCAACCGATTCAGGTGCGCAAACTTTGCCTCGCTCGACCCCTGAGGGTTGGCTCTGCCTTGCCCGACACCGAGACCGCGGGCTCCGCCTCGCCCGACCCCGAGGGTTGGCTCCGCCTCGCCTGACACCGAGGCCACGGGCTCCGCCTCGCCCGACTCCTTAGGATGGCTCCGCCTCGTCCGACACCGAGGCCATGGGCTCCGCCTCGCCCGACCTCTAAGGGCTAGCTCCGCCTCGCCCGACATCGAGGCCGCGGGGGTCCACCTCGCCCGACCCCTGAGGGCGAACTCCGTCTCGCCCGACCTCTGGGGGCAGGCTCTGTCTTGTCCGACACCAAGGCCGCGGGCTCCGCCTCGCCTGATCTCTAAGGGCTGGCTCCGCCTCGCCCGACCCTTGGGTTTGGGCTCCGCCTCGCCCGACTCTTGGGTTTGCGCTCCGCCTTGCCCGGCCTCTGGGGAGGAACTCCGCCTCACCCGACCCCGAGGCCGGGGGCTCCGTCTCGCCCGACGGAGACCCATACCACCGCCAACCACCCCAGATCTAAGCGTATAAGCCTGGGTCAAAGCTCTGACGTCAGGGAGGTGATCGGCACGCCCCGATATAACCTGTGGCCGTGGCGGACCATGCCCGAGGATTCACATCAGGAACAGCGTCGGGCCATCGGGGACTGAATACTAGGGTACCCAAAGCGGTGGAACTAATAACCATCAAATGTTGATGCTTCCGAACAGACAAGAACGCAACTACACTTCTTACCCGAATGACTAAAGATTGGCTCTGCCTCGCCCGACGTCCCGGGCTGGCTCCGCCTTGCCCGAACGACCGAAGATTAGCTCTGCCTCGCCAGACGTCCCGAGCTGGATCCGCCTCGCCCGACGTCTAGGGGCAAGCTCCACCTCGCCCGACGTCCAAGGGTAGGGCTCTGCCTCGCCCGACATTCTGGGTTAGCTCTGCCTCGCCTGACGTCTAAGGGCAGGCTCCGCCTCACCCGATGTCTGAGGGCAGGGCTCCGCCTCGCCCGACATCCAAGGGCAGGGCTCCGCCTCACCCGACATTCTGGGCTGGCTTTGCCTCGCCTGACGTCTAAGGGCAGGCTCTGCCTCACCCGACGTCCGAGGGCAGGGCTCCGCCTCGCTCGACATCTGGGGACAAGCTTCGCCTCGATGATGTCGAGGGTAGGCTCGCCTCGCCTGACGTCGGGAGCCGCCGACGACGTCGAGGGCTCAGCTCTCGCCTCGCTCGATGTCTAGGGGCAAGCTCCGCCTCGCCTGACATCTGAGGGTAGGGCTCCGCCTCGCCCGATGTCCAAGGGCAGGCTCCGCCTCACCCGATGTCTGGGGGCAAGCTCCGCCTCGCCTGACGTCCGAGGGTAGGGCTCCTCCTCGCCTGACGTCCAGGGGTCGGCTTCGCCTCGTCCGACGTCTAGGGGCAAGCTCCGCGTCTCACCTAACGTCCGAGGGTAGGGCTCCGCCTCGCCCAACGACTGCACCCTGCTCCTTCATAATTGACGAGCACAGGGTAAGACAAGACATTCGAGTCAACCGCAGTACCGAGGACCATGCCCTGCATGCCTGTAGGAAAGTACCATCAGGATATGACGGGATGGGTGCTTTAAGCCCTTCTAGGCATGACAGAGCCCGAACAGTGTTGTAGGCATCGACTTTCGTCTTACAGTGTTGTGGGCGCCGCCATCAGCCCTCGGACAAGGATCCTAACATAAGCATACGACAACCACTACAATCAAGGAAGGAACTCACATCATCTACAGTAACGGACGTATGGTCACATCCCCGTCTGCTCCCCGTAGAGTCACGGCTCGACACCCTAGCACGCCACAATGTCCGTCGGAGTAGGATGGGATGGGACCACTTGCTAAACGAAGCCAGAGCGTGGCCCTATCAGGATCAATGAACGTGCTATCCCTGGCACCGTTTGACATGTTAGCAGGGCAGGCTTAAGGGAAAAGGAAGACCCAGCACCTTCGAAGGACCTTCTCTACCTCTGGTTTTTCCTCTTTCTCCCATCTGTAATCCCTGCTCCCCCTTGATCTATAAAAGGGAGGGCAGGGCACCCCACGAAGGGGACGAATCAATTTTGCACACAACACATAGCCAAGCAGCAACTGAGCTCTTGGCATCCTTTCGACCATTCTATCAGAGACTTGGGACCTGTCCCTCTCTCGACCATTTATACCCCCTACTACGAACCTTTTTCAGTGCTAATAACATGAGTAGCAGCAAACTAGACGTAGGGACATTCTGCCTGAACCAATATAAACCTTGTGTCCTTTAGTAGATTATCCAGCCTAACGCGCAACAAATATAAATTTACTAGTTAGTGTTTACTCGAAACACCGACATTTGGCGTGCTACGTAGGGGACCTTTGCGCATTCCGACGATAAACAACAGGCCACAGATGGCTAGCCACAACATCAGCTGGGCCCTAGGAGCACACGTGCCTTTTGGGAGCTTAGACTTCATCATCACGGTGGGAGGAGAGTTGGCATTGGCTCACGCTGCCATCCCATCTCTCCCCTCCATCGGCCTCAACCATGAGAGGCTTGAGCGCCAGCTCGGTGTCTCCCTTGGACCTCGGCAGTCCAGGGAGGACCAGCGTCGCCTCACCCTTTCCGACACCAATGACATGGCATGGTTTATCAAAGGAGGGTCCCTCTCTCTAGAACACCACACATGGAGCGCCCCGACAGCATTTCTATTCGGTCTCCACAACACTACGACGATCGTTAGCCACCTTGTGGCACAATGCATGGTCCTGCCACCTGCGAACAACGAGTTCGTGGGGGTGATCAAACACATCACGAAATCTCTCCACAACCTCCTCATAGAGGAGCCGGCATCGTCCTCTGGCTCTGACTCCAGCAGGGGGAGCCATCACCCCTCCTGGGAATGCTTCATGATGGGTACCCTCGAGGGACACGTCGAAAGCATCCCACGGAGGAGGCTTCCCCGGTGGGCAACCTTGGCGACAAAACCGAAGGGGAGATAGTGGCCCCACCTCGCATGGGGGTGGAGCAGCTGAAGGCCCAAAAGTGAGAGATCTAGGAAGCCAAAATCCAGCTTGAGTAGGAGTACGCGGAGCATGATCGAGAGATCGAACACCGTGGACGGTGGGCGCACATGTGCCATGGCCCGCGATGTAAACTGGAGGATCATCGCCGATGATGAAGCCCTTCCTCACTTCGCTCGGGCGAGCCAGAACATCGCCGCCACGACGGCCTTGCTCCATGGCCTTCCAAAGGCCGCGACACCCGAGGATCGTCAGGCCCACCACGAGATTCACATGCTACTTGAGCATACGGCAGCGCAGCAGGCTGAGAGCTCACTATCCCAATGATGCGAGCTCGATGCCAGCCAGCGCACGACCATGGCGCGCCCCGCCAGGGATGCGTTAGTCCACCAGGCACCACCGGGCGACATGCAGTGCGCCATGGTCCCGGTCCATCAGTGTCTTGGCTGCAACCACGACGCACGCAGCACCCTCGACGCCCACAGACGTACCTACGGCGACCCGAGAAAAGGAGCCCGTCGCGGCTATCATCCTCGTTGCGACGGACGCTACGATAGTGGCGAGGACCCAAGCTCGAGCCTTGGCCTGCTGGGTCCTTAGGCCTTCGGCCGGCACATCCTCAACGCTGCTTTCCCACCAAGGTACCGACCACCTACCAATATCCCAAAATACTCTGGGGAGACAAACCCCGGACTTTAGCTCAAAGACTATTGGCTTGCCTGCCAGGCCAGTGGTGCGGATAATGATGACTTCATTATCCGCAACCTTCCACTATTCTTAGCCAATTCGGCACGAGCATGGTTGGAACACCTGCCGTCCAACATGATCCAGAGTTGGGCAGATCTGAAGGAGATCTTTATGGGGAACTTCTAGGGCAC